GGTGTTTTATGAAAAAAAGTGAATCAGGAAATTATCTATATACCAAACTAAACGATTGTTGTTCTCTACTTCAAAAACATTTTAGATTTAAAAATGGAAAAACTTTCTATTTTTTATTTAAAAGTCACTTTATAACATGGATGCAATAACACCTGCATTTTATGGACCTTTACTGGTTGATGATTTTCTTTATTCGGACCCCCCTGCCATAGTCTATTGATGCACAGGAGGATTTCTCCTGGAGTCAATCAGCACCAGCCTGCGGAAAATCTCACCTCCTCGTTATTTGCCGTCTCATCTTTGTTCTGGATAAGACGTATCACTGCTGTGATTGGTGCTGGACTTTGCACAACAGTCATCGGTGTGATGAGAAGAAGACTGAAAGCTGATCTCAGCGACAATGGAAGAGGTGTTTCAAAAAAATGTAAATCTAAATAAATAAATTTTTTCCTAAAATAAATAAATTTGTCTTGAATTGAGGTGGTAATTGAGCCGCTTTGCCAATGGAACGAGAAAATTTACATTTAAAATAAGAAAAAAAACAATTGCATTGTCTTGTTTCAAGTGCATGTTATCTAATTATCTTATTTTAAGCGTAAAAATACTCATTCCATTGGCAGATAATCTTATTTACCTACTCAAATTAAGGGTAAATACACTTAATTTAAGACATTTTTACTTATTTCTGATTCGTTTTTGCAGTGTTGTTTCCTACCAAGAGTAACTGAGGCCTGTCTGAGAAAATTGCAGTTAAACTAAAGAGACTGTATTAGCAGAATCTGGCTTGCTGATCCAATGCTGGAAGATGATGGTGTAGAAAGCTGTGTTAAAATCAGCAATATGTCTTGTTCTCCAGGTGTTCCTGGCTAACATCAGTGTTAACAGAGACACACAGAGGCTGCTTTTCAAATCTTCCATAGGAATCGGCTCTTGTGGAAGTGAGTGCTGGGGGTTGGCAGTGGTTCAGACAAGCCGTTATTGGAAAGAAGCACCATCAATGTCTAAACACCTGGTCTTCTTTCTGTGGGGTGGGTTTCTTTTCCTGGTTTTGTGTTTTATGGCACACCTGGCAGTGTAAAATGACGTCCCTGTTTAAATAAACAATACAACATTCAGAGTCATTCCAGTTCTTTGGTTGAAACCCCTTTAAAATCCCAGAGGTGGCTGTAAACCCAGGATGCAGCTTTATTTAAAACTGACTGTGACTGGGGGCCTCAGAAGCTTGTTGATGCTTAAGACCCTGGAAGATGCTCCCTTATTTTTTATACTCATTTTAAAATTGTAAACATGAAAGAAAACGACATTCCTGTCATTGATGGTCGGCGATGTTGCTGCTTTAAACGTGCTGGTAAAAAGGAGTCTGGTGAAAATATTTGGAGACAAAAGTTACCAAAGTTGGGTCATTTTGTAAAAAATCTTTCATTTCACACTCAGTTATCATTTAAAGGGATGAAACACAGAAGATTCATGAAAATATGAATCATAAAGCAGAAAAAAAGCACTTTAAAGTTGGCCTTTCCTTACAGCAGCTTTTGGAAGTACATTTATTTTCACAATGGCTCAAAAAAGAAGAGCCTTTTAAATCAGTGCTTGCAGGGAAGTTAAAATTACAACAAAGTGAAAAGTTTTTGCATATTTTTCACTGATATAACATTGAATTTTTTCATAATCCCCCTTCCATCCAAGTTGTTCACAGAAAGTATCTAAATGGACTAAAAAGATTGTTTTATTTCTGTTTAACCCCTGAAAAAAGTAGAGTTTGCTCTAGTTTTCAAGCAGAAATTATACTGTGATAAAATGTTTTTTGTGGTTTTAGTGGTTTTAGTAATGTACACATCTAGATGACAATGAGTTTTAACATTTTTAAACAAAAGAATAGCCTAATTTGCTGAGTCTATTTCTATGACACGATTTCTTTTTTTAACCTTGCAGTTGCGAAAGTTATCCACAGCGTGGTGCTGTTGTCTAACTTTTTACACAAAGATAATTCTACCACAACCGAACGACTGAAACTTGGAAGCAACTGTCAGATTAACACAAGACATCAGTTAATTTGCTCAGTAATTCATCACTACAGCGAACCAAGTGCAAGAACAACAGCTAGAAAAAGTGCTTATATTAAAAAAAATGGAGAGATAAAACTTTATTAGGATCCTTCCCTTAATACTATATCAGATGTTGATTGTCTGGCAGCAGATGAGATATTAAGCTGAAGATCCACCAGAGAACAACCACAAACCATATAATTTGCTTAGAACCCCCCTTTTCATATTGGGTTTTTTGTGTCACATTTCATTACACTCAAGCATTTATTAAAATAAACCACAAGTTTCAAATACCTGGATGTTCACGTCGATAATCAACTGGACTGGACTCATGAAACCAACGCCCTGTATAAGAAGGGCCAGAGCT